TCACTACAATACATGCCGCTCAATTTCCAATCACTTGCATTGTCCATGGCGGCTCTAGTCTGCTACACAGCCGTTTTTAGTGTCGCCACGAAACGCTCCTCCCCACTGGGGAGGAGCGTTGCGTGACGACTCTAAAAACGACTGTGTAGCAGACTATGGCGGCTCTAGCTAAAATTCTAGGTTGTCTACCATCCCCACATTCAACAAGACACGAAACGCTCCTCCCCACTGGAGAGGAGCGTTGCGTGACGACTCTAAAAACGGCTGTGTAGCAGACTATGGCGGCTCTAGCTAAAATTCTAGGTTGTCTACCATCCCCACATTCAACAAGACAAAAGTTAATCGATACGACAATCGAGGAAAAATATGTAGAACTTCGTAAAAAATCTGTGAATCGAAAAAATAATAAATACTTGTTCACCTACCGTTTGAAAACCGACCAAAATCTCGTCTGTTTATACATCGCAAATGAGCCCCCAAATATGCTGAATATTTCACGAGACACTTCCAATATGGCTTTCGATACGCTGTCCACTTAAAAAAGTTGTGTATGCCTCATGAAAAGTCTTAAAAATATGCCTGAGAGCCTCGAAACGATGGCCATGATGACTCAGGCCTGATAATGACTGAGGGTGTGTTCCTTTCGGTGAATCCAAAAACGGATTTTTGATCTGGTGAATCCTTTTTGAAAAAGGATTCATTGGATTTGAAATCCGAAGAATCCAAATCCAGATTAACGGATTAGTGATCTACGCTGTTCCATTCACAGTGGATCCCAAATTCGTCAGATGATCCAGCGGTATTTCCAGTTGAAGTATTCCCATAGAGGCCGTAGAGTTTCCTCGTTGCTGTCATTTGCCGCAAAACATCTGAAAACACTGGAAGATTGTTCCTTGTACATTAAAATATCCATATACTAACCATTTGTCTCTAAAGATTGCTTGAAATCAGAAATAAGTAAAAGTAACAAATGGACTGCTATCTAACTACAAACTCGCTTGTAGACGCGACAGGCACTCGATCGTGTTACATAACCATTAACAAGAAGACCTGAAGTCGGGGATGAAGACTTCCAATATGGAGGCGACTTCCGTAGTCTTGTTGACTACAAATAGAGATGTCACAGGCTGACACTAACCTACTTCAGGTATTGGTATCGGTATTGGTACCCGATCTTAACCTCTCTATTTAACTAAGATTTGCAAAATAATCAGAGATCTGAACGATCGCAGCGATTATATTCACACCACGTTACGAACTGGTAGAAATTCACGGTGCCTAAGCCGAAGAAGAGTGAGAGAGAAAGCGAAACGTTCACAGTCTCTGTCTCTTCAGTTACTGTATCCCAAGCTCTCAAATAAGCCGATCAGTTTATTGATCCTACAGATCGCATGGCGAGCGTGGCCTTCCATTTGTGTGTGGCGGTGTCACTCGTGCTCACAATTGTACCTCTCGTCGCCCATCAAGGTACTAGTAAGGCTATGTTCACACTTTATATTATTTAAGAGACCCATTATAAAGTTACATACCGGTGAAATAGATCAGTGCTTGCTTGATCAATAAGCCACACTTCGATGCTGAATTTTTTAAGTCTTAATATGAACATGCAAAATAGTTAAATACCGATACCGTGACATCAGAGTTTGGTCCGCTTTTTTAAAAGCTGGTACTTTTCCAAGGAGCTTATTTGATTTTTTTGTTGTCACTTTACACTTAATGAATAGTTTCTTTATTGAAGAAATGGCATCTTTCTAAATCAATGTGATAATAAATATGACAAACTAATTTTTTATCGAGGAGAATTCATGCATGAACGAGGTGCTCTCGTCATTCACTGTAGTATACCAGTTTTAGAAACCGTGTTATTCGAGTTGGGCTTAAATCGTATGTAACTTAAACGCAGTTTTACGTAAAACAAGCATTTGTGAAACCAATTCTGGAACAGTTACTAATTATAAGAAGAACTTAAAAATATCTCGAAGAATCTTGCCAAGAATGTGCCTCGCAAGCAAAATTGGCAACGAGGAGCCTTAAGATGCCAAGAGTTCTTGTGAATACAAAATAATTGTTAAGATAATTATGAGCGATCCTTTCAACTGCCAATTGCCGTTACTTTGCTCTCGTACTAGGCATGAAATAAAAAATGGGGATCACCGTACTCGTTTTACCGGTAGAGCTGCAAGAAGTGCGCAGCAAATGCATTTTCTCCGATTTTTGAGAGAGGACTGGGCAAGTTTCAAAATGGCATGTATGTGAAAGGGGAAGAAACAAGAGCCATAATGGGAAGAAAGTATTTAAAAATCCGTTTTTACAGAATTTACATCGAGATGTCACGTTTAGGACACAATGTGATAAAGGGAGCGTTTAAACGATAATCAAAGTGAGTAAGAACAAGTTTAACATCCACTTTTGAGGTTCTCCTTGAGCTGAGGAAGTCGAACTCAGCAACACGCGTACTGCTCGGGTGGAAATCCAGCTCAAAAGGCTTCAGTTAAAAGTATTCAGGATTTGTGTCTTGATTTTGATCTGGTCGACATCTGGAGAATTCGGAATCCTACCACTCGACGTTTTACGTGGAGGCAAAGAAACCCATTTATTCAAAGAAGGCTAGACTTCTGGCTAATAAGTGATGTCTGTCAAGAAGACACTGAAGGAACCGATATTATTCCGTCAATAAATTCTGATCATTCTCCGATCATTCTTCACTTCAACAATATAGACCGGCATTCTGGAAATTTAACGCTAGTCTACTTAATGATGAAAATTTTGTACTTTTAATCAACCAAAGTGTTCCGCTTTGGCTAGATGAGTTTAAAGAGGTAATCGAAAAGAGTATTATGGGATTTGATTAAGTACAGGATCAGACAGGTAACGATAAAATATAGCAAGGAAAAAGCTCGACAAAGAAGGCAAAAGATATCTGATATTGAAAACTCTCGCAAAGTCTTGGAGGAAAAGTGCGGCAATAACCCTACTACCGAGAATATTGAACAACTTGAAATTTTGAAATTGGAACATGAAAATATTTATGAGGAATTTTCAAAGGGAGCAATCATTCGCTCGAAGGCAACTTGGTATGAAAAGGGAGAGAAAAGTAACAAATATCTCCTCAAGCTAGAATCTCATCGGAAGGCTAAAAGTTCAGTTCGTAAGGTTTTTATCGGAGAAGAATTGTTAGTCACTGACCCTAAAAAGATTTTAGGGGTTGTTGAAGGCTTTTATTCTGGTCTGTATAAGAAGGACGATCTAGAACCTTCTGAAAATCTGATGAATAATTTTTTGGAAAATCCGCAAATTCCTCGTCTCTCTTTTGACGATTCTCAAGTGTGTTAATGGAAGTTAACAATTGAAGAACGTGTGAAGAGTCTCAATTCTTTTGAACCCAATAAATGTCCAGGCAACGACGGGTTAACAGTTGGATTTTACAAATTTTTTTGGAACATAGTTGGGGAATTACTGGTAGCCAGCCTCAACTACTCTTATGACGTCGGAGAATTATCAAACTCACAAAAGAAAGCAATTATATATAATATTATTGGAAAAGAAAGATAAGGATAAAAGACACATATCTAACTGGAGACCAATATCTCTGATCAATGTCGATGCTAAAATAGGATCGAAGGCGATCGGTAAAAGGCTGGAATGTGTTCTGCCCAATATTTATACATTTTAACCAATGTGCATATGTTAAAGGCAGGACTATTTTTGATGCGGTTAGAACAGTAGAAGACATCTTAGAGTACACTGAGAGATTTAAAATCAACGGAAGATTGATAGCTATAGATTTCAACAAGGCTTTTGATTCTGTAAGCAGAGAATTTTTTTTCGTACCCTATCCGCTGTTCGTTTTGGCTCTTCTTTTATCCAATGGATTCACACTTTTTATAATAATATTTCTAGCTGTGTTTCAAACAATAGTTTCGCTACCGCAAATTTTGACATTCATTTCTCCGTACCTGTTTATTATCGTGTTAGAAACTTTGGCTTCAACGATAAGGTCAGACAATGATATTCGAGGTATCATGGTGGATGGTCAGGAGATCAAATTTGGGCTTTTTGCTGATGATTTAACAGGGTTTTTGAAGAACGACAAATCCCTAAGAAAGTTCCTTGAACTTGTCTTGCAGTTTGGTAAATGCTCTGGGCTCGTTATAAACCATGATAAGTCGGAAATATTGTTACTTGGAAACTCTTTCCCCGCGCCCCCAACCTTAATCATACTCCTTTTAAAGACCTAAAGATAAAGATTTCCGTAAAGATTTTAGGGGTATATTTCACGTATGATCACCATCTCAGACGCAAACTTAATTTCGATGAAATTACAAAAACCATTAAGGATAAGTTAAGAATTTGGAAATGGAGGGATCTTACTATCATTGGTAGAATTCAACTGGTCAAAACATTTATTATCCCCACTTTCTTATACCGTGCTAGCTTAAGTTGTATGGATAAAGAATTTGTAAATGAAGTAAACAAAATTATATTTGACTTTATCTCCACACTTAAGCTCCAAACTTGGATTCTATTATTAAAACTCAAAGAATATTATGCTGTAAAAAGCTCGCGAGTGAAGACCTTAATTTGTAGCTGGAAAATTATTCTTCTTCATTACCTAAAACCAGTAGGTGGCAAATTTATCCTTGGCTGCAACTTCGATGTAAAAAAGCTGCCTATCAAGCTTCCGGGTTTTTATGAGGAATTTTGAAAGGATTTTTCGCGATGCTCCGCAGCAAACAAGGTTAGTCTAGACAATATTAATGCAGTGCATATTTCAAAGATCAATCTGAGGAATAATTATTATATGTTAATTGGTGGTAAAACCGTTTTCAACAAAAGATTAGTAGATAAAGGAATTGTAAGAATAGGGGATCTTATTGCTGAAAACAATAAAGTCATAACGAGCAAGCTAAGGGAGTTAAATTTGTCCCCATTGGACGCATTTCAACTTTTTTCAGTGATCGACGCACTCCCGAAGGACTGGCGTCATGCGTTGAAGAGTTATGGATATGATCGCCTGTTCTTTCGATCTTCACGGGCAGACTCAGTTGTTTTTATCTGGTAAAGAAGTTTTATTAAGTAATCCTGACTCAAAAGGCATCTATAAAAAAAATTAGAGATGGAGAAATTGTTCAACCAACTGCGCAAAAGAAATATGTTGAATTTTTTGAAAATGATGATTTAAACTGGAAAGAAATTTACAGCTTACCCTACCAGGTTGCCCTTGACACTTAGTCACGTGAATTTCAATATAAATTGTTACACAGATATCTGGCCACCAATGATTTTATAAACAAAATTGGTATTTCTTCATAACCACGATGTTCTGTGTGCGATGGGGCGGATGAATCCCTTGAACACCTTTTTGTCTCTTGCCTGATTACTCAGAGTTTTTGGGCAGAGGTTATTAAATGGTGTAGCAATCGGGGGGTGGCTATTAACCATCTCTCTGCTAAAGATATATTATTTGGGATAAAGGTACATAAAGACAATTTATTTATTAATCATATTTTGCTAGTTGGTAAGCAGTATATATATAATTGCAGATGCACGAAAACAAACCCTTGTTTACGGGTTTTCTTGGCAAGACTCAATAGCGTTTATCAATTAGAAACTATCATTGCCAAATCGAAGAATAAAATGTCTTTTCATTTATCGAAATGGCAAGCACTCTTGACAGGTGGTACACAATTGCCGACAAATACTTGTTAAGGTTTAGTAGTATTGATACTGTCGTTGTGTGTCGTGTGTGGTGCGTACGTGTGTGAGTTATTTGTGTATTATTTCTTTAAAAATTGTAATGTCGGTAAAGTATGTAAAAATTAATGTTATTATTGTAAGGCAAGAAATTGAAATAAACAGTGATTAAATTCCAAAAAAAAACAACAACAAAAAAAAAACACGCGTACTGCTTCTGTTATGCACATTCCCAAAGTCTCACCTCGCCAAGAAACGACCGCAAGCATAACTTCCAGTAGCTTTTCTCTTCAGTAAACTTCATTTTAATAATGTTACTGAGATGCTCTTTTTTACGGCGGCCATCTTGTTATGCGCAGTAAGAGATGCGCAGTGCAAAACCAGCGAATCACCTTAAACCGCTAATCAGTAAGTTCTTTGATTCGAAGGGGCACGTCGAAAATCACTTCAAAATACAAACATTACTTTTGTCCAATTCGCAGTTTTAAGCCCAAAGGATATGTATTTGGTCATATTCTCTCAGCTTTCGTTCGCCAGACCTAGTTAATCGAGAAATTGATAATCGATATTAACCGATAGTCAGTAATCGATATCAATCATCGATCGATTTCCGATATCGATCGATAGAAATCGATAAAGAAAAAAAGGTCCCACTTCGATTAAATCTATGATGATTTTTATCGATTGTATCGACTACTAAATATCGATTCCTATCGATTGTTATCTATCCGAAAGATTGTTATCGATGTTGTTAATTGATAAAAATCGATAAATTGTTTTTTCTGTGACTTCGACTTCTATCGATTTCCGATACTAATCGATATTAATCGGCCGATTAAATCGATTAATTTTCGATATCGATTTTTATCAATTAACTACGTCTGGCGTTCGAGTCATCAATTATTGTCTTTACGGAAACAAGAACAGAATAGCCCACGTTCGATATAAAATTCTAAGATGACTCCGAGGCTTTAGGGTCAAAATCGCAAACTTTTTACCACTCCATTGTGTCGCAATTACCAGAAGAGAATTGAACACAAAGAAAACCAAACCAAAATATAGAAAAATGACTAGAAAGCCTCGGACTTTTGTTAGAATTTTAATATATCGAACGTGGGCCATTGTATTGTTCAGACGGCTTAGAAATTTGACTAATATCAGTCGTTCTATATGACATAATGTAAATCTGCGTTTTACAATTCGCCACTTGCACATCTGCCATAATGCCCCCCGCCCCCCCCCCCCAAAAAAAAATATTGCAAAACCTTTGCTTTTCATTTCTCCTGACAATTGCAGCCGTCCCAAGAGAAATTAAACACAATGCTGGTGCAAAATAAGGTGCATTATCGGAGACTTGCTTGACTTAGTTGGTAGAGCTACAGTAGATCTAATCCTGGTATCGTGGGTTCGAATGCCACCGGTAGAAACAGCGGGATTAACCCAGTTTTTTTCAAACTTTCAGGAAAACCCACAAAAAACGAACGCGGCGACAAAACACCTTTAACCCTCTTACAGGCTCCGCGGTATAGTTTCTACTTTGTGTCAAAAGATCAACCCGTAAAACTGACATGGGAAGCTACAGACGTATGCAAGATTCAGATCACTTGTAATGGAGATAAATTTAATGAGGGAGACGGAAGGGCCTTAAGAGAGACTTGTCAAGCTTGGAAAACGAAGAAGAAGACGAGGACAATAAAACTTTCTGATTTTCCAAGAGGTAGCAGGACCATGAATTGTCAGGCTAAATTCTGGGGGATAAACTCCACCAAGACGGAGAAGATAACTTTGACGAAAGTCTGTAAGTATTATTTTTCGCCTCATGTAAGGGAATTGGGATTCCGGAATCCGGGAAATTTTTTCTTGTAAAATCAGGAATCCTGGGCTTTGGAATTGTGAGTTCAATGAATCTGGAATCCTACTAACGACTTGAATCGGGAATCCAAGTTCCACTGACAGGGTTTCTGGATTCAATTCCACGCACTGTCTTGGATCACGTTAAATGAGGTGATATATTGGAGCTGCATTGCTGCTATACAATACTCTCTAGAATTTTAATTAGTGTAGGGGTACAAACCCAGTCGAAGGCACCAGTTTCTGGAGGTTCCTGTCAGTAAAGAGTTCGTTGAACGAAACATCGGGTGATGTCTGTTTGAATTAAGGCTTTTCATTTAGCTCTCTGCATGAAGTCTCAGCGAACGATTTCAGGCCGCTGATAAACTGTGGTTATGTTTTGCAGTTCTTTTCCGGAACTTTGGAAAAGTCAAGTCGCATCACGTGGTATATGCAAACGCTACTGTGATACTTCTCTGTAAGCCTCCAATGGGTTACCCGCCACCGAATATCACGTGGTACAAAAATGGCGAACCACTTTTCTTTTGCTGTGGCAGAAGCTTGCGAGATTCTGCTAAAACGTTGGTCATAAAGAGCGTGAGCAAAAACGACTCGGGCGACTACCAATGTGTTGCCCTGAACATGGCGGCGCGCCGACAAGGACCAATGATAACCCTCAAAGTTCGCGGAGGTTAGTCATGTTTCTGTTTTCTCTTTCATTCTATGAATTCCGTTCACAAAAGTCTCATTTAATTCTATATTTCTTACATTAAAGTTCAAATGTTATTTGACCATCTTAACCATTTTGGCAGAGATTTTGATCTTGAAATGCACTGCTTTGAGCAACCGGTCCCGAACCGGTCCCAGATTTCAGGAGGCAGACCCTAATCTGAATCCAAGAGCTTCCTGTCCAAGGACAAAAATCTGAAGCCAAAGCTGAGCCATACGATTCCTAACCTTGAATCGCTCATGCGATCTTGTTTTTTAAATTTCATTTGAGGACGGTTACTCTCTAACGCGGTCGGAAGACTGATGTCTTTTTGTTTTATCTCAGTAGTCAGTGGCAACTTGTTTACCACAATTAGGTGAAAACATGGGAAAGAATGTCTGGAGTAATTGGTTTATTGCTAATTTGACAAATGAGGGGCACATTTCCTGCAGCTGAATAATTAGAAAGCGTATCCAAATTTCGAGAGAAAACGAAAAACCATCTTATTTGCCTCATCCATGTTGTCGAGCAATGTCGACTGAAGGCATGAACCAAAAAAGTGATACACAACTTGTACGTGGAAATCATTGGATTTCATGTATATCTTCTTTTACTTAGAGTTGTTAACAAAATTAAACTAGTAAATCTCTAAGCTTTTTAGTTATCCAAACACATGCCGACGCGATTTCCATAGACGATGATGAGGGACAAATTGTCTATTGTTTTTTCATCTCTCATTTATTTAGCAACTGTTGAAGTTAGAAAAAAGAATGTCTCGGCTTCTGATTGTAATAAGAGTAAAGTGAAATGCTATGGTGAGGCAGCGGATGGTTACAAAAACGGAAGCAACAAATCGGCCAGTTGGGGTAAGATACACCGATTTCTCTCTTCATTAATTAAGCCTACCTCATTATGCCTTCTGCACTGGGTTTCACTAGAACAAGCAAGACTAGATATGTTAATGCTTGATGGTCCTTGATCATAATACTCCTCACACCCTCCCAAAAATTGGAAGAAAATAATAATAATAATAATAATAATAGTAATAATAATAATGATAATAATAATAATAATAATAATAATAATAACAGAAGTAACAATAAATTCGGTTAACATTCACTTATCCCATCATAATATTTTAAATCAGGGCTTAACTCGCCAAATCACATAATTTTTGTGTTTTTGTAGTTGTTCCGTGCTCCGGGTAACTGCCTTTTCATCAATGTACAAAGGCTAACGCTCAGGGGATTTTCTATTTTCTATTTTTTTTGGAGGGGGAGGGAGGGGTTCTAAAACACTTTTTTTACTCAGCAAGGTTAACTCTGAAATTCACCATTGCTTCTTTTCAGCTTCATATTCACCCATGCTAATTGTTGGTAAAGAAGATGAGATTGTCACATATGAGCTGCAAAATAATTCATGGACAAGAAGATCGCTATTCCCAGCGAAGGATGTAGCAGGGCTAGAGTGCGCCCACGATAAACGTCACATATACTGGTCAGACAGAAAAGAGATAAATGAACTCTCCTTAGCCACCACCTTACGTGAAATATCTCCTTTTCATCTCGATCGACTCAACCCTGCAGCGTCACCGAATTCCCTTGCCTTTAATTGGATTGGTTATCAGTTATACTGGATTGATGCCAAGGACATTTATCTCGGAGATTTGCGCAATTGGAGAATAGTTCGACTAATTGAAGGAAAACTTGATATACCAAAAGCTATTGCTTTGAGTCCTTCTGATGGGTAAGTAGAAATTTGTACGGCGATTTTGAGTACATTCATCATAGGCAGTTTGCTGTAAAGCAGCAACTGTAGGTAATTAACCACTCTAATCATCCCTGTGTTTTGGAGTATGCTGAAGAAATTACTTCCTTTTCCTTTCTGAATGTCAGTGTTGTCATCGCTCGTAGGGGGATTACATTTTATCTGGTTCTGGTTCCTCTTTGTCTAAATGAAGGATTTGGAAAGCAAAATAGCTCGGTTTCTTTGGTGCACTTCGTCCCACTGGGTGTTAAACGTTTGTCCGTTTAAATATTGTTTTTCAGTTTGTCAATTATTTTCAATCACATTCAATCGAGAGCTCATGCCAAGCTTGAAGTTCGATGAATTAGGTAGGGCTCTCAAAGCTGTTTCAAGGTCCAACATGTCATCCTTCAGACCTTTTAAGGTTTTGTTGCTATGTAAGAGTGGTTATTGTGTCAGTCGCGATTTTGTGTGTGTTACACTGATCTAGTTTTTGAATTCTTTTTCAAAGTTTTATTTACTGGGCGGTCTGGGGCCAAGTACCAAAAATTATGCGCGCAAGACTAGATGGAACAGAGAGAAAAGAACTTATTAACAAAGGTATCACTTTTCCGCAAGCCCTGGCACTCGACGAATCAAACAGGAGGCTTTTCTGGGCTGGAACTGACGAAACAAAATCACAAGGAATAATAGAGTGGGTATCCCTAGATGGCTTAAACCGCAATGTCACATTCCGCAGTCCGGGTTATTGTCCGTATAGTTTGGATATCTATGAAGGTTTTGTGTACTGGGCTGACCGGAGAAAGAAAGCTATTCTGCGCATCTCATCCAGAGGAGGTGAAGAAGAGATGGTCATTACCGGCTTAAAAAAGCCAGTGGGAGTAAAGTTTTGCCAGGAGCGTACCGAGTTTGAAAATAATCATGGTAGGACTTTCAAGGAAATTTATATCCTTACAATAGACGAGGCACTGGGCTGGGAAGGGGCTAAGGTTGTTGCTGTGTTGTATTCTTTTGAATCATTAAACCTTTATTAGTAAAATCTAACTAGTGGTCTATTATCAATGCTGCGTTCTGATTGGTTGAGCTACCACTAGGCTATATGTTATAGCCCCTAGTAGCAAAAAGCGCGGGTTTTTTGGCGGCAAAAAAAAAATTAAAGTCTACCTTTTAACTAACTAAAATATTTTTTATTCTCGATATATTTGACCAGCTAGTTAGATTTTACTAAAACAATTATTCCTCTCGCCCTCATGGCCTCTGAGTCAATAGCCCATTCGGGCTCGAGGGATAATTGTTAAATACGTAGGTTCTGATGAGCTGTACGACATGATGTAAATAATGTAAGACTTTTTGTGAGGACCTGTGACGTCATTTTAAATGGCTTTCGTTTGGCCACATTTTATCTAAGCTGAATAGAGTTAAATTCATCCTGTTTCATGCTTAGCTCTAAAACGTTTACTTTTCTGCTTTGGCACTTAAAAATTGCTTTTGCCCAAAAACGGTAAGAGGACTTAAATTTTGTCCTCAGGATAGCTTTACACATTCCACTTATGACATAATATTTTATAAGCATAGCAACTAATTATATCCAATGTTTGCTCAAATATGGTGTACAGATTATATGAGAACAGTTTCTGGTGAAAAGAAGGATGATACTAGGTTTTCGTAATGAAGTAAAAATACACGTTGAGGATTACATTTAATCCCCCCCCCCCCCAATTCACCTCCTGTAGCTTTAAGTTAATTTCCTCATTTTTGCTAGGGAGTCCTTGTGATCAGAACAACGGTGGTTGTGACTACCTGTGCGTGAATCTACATTTCAGTAAAGGTCCAAGATGTATGTATCAAAAAGATATGAACCTCAAAGGTGATGGTAAAACATGCGAAAAAGGTGAGTGTTTTGTTGGGCCACTTAAAAAATATATCTTTGTCAGTGGCATGCTACGACACATTGAGTTTTAAAATGCCTTTTATGTAGGGTCCGAAATTATATTTGTATAGCCGATTAAAGATTATCAGTTATTCGTGTCGTCATACCGGAAAGGTATTTTTTAACTCTTTTCTCTTGCTGGTACGCTTACAGTTACCAGCGGTAATTCCGAGAATGTAAGCAAGACTGAACCGTCTGCCCTGTCTAAGAATACTTGTTTGAGTCGTTTTACCTTTGTTGTATACACTTGATAAAACGTAGCTTTCTCCGTGGGTGGCGCTTACTACTATAAGTTGTAAATAGGCGATATCTGAACTCAATAAAGAGATGGAACTAATTATGATATTAATAATCTTTTGACTTCCAGCAGGAAAGAACGAGATTATTGTCGTCGTGATTATTGTCGTCATAATTATTGTCGTCGTGCTGTTGTTGGCGCTGCTACCAGCGGTGTACATTATTGTTAAGAAACACTTCTCACACTTCACACAAGTAGATAAGAACGTTAGGGAGGACATAGGAGAGGAGCCTACCACTGAGCGTACGTGTTTCCTACAAGAAAATTTGCCCCCATCGTTTGATGCGTCAGAGGTGTTGAGTCAACAATACAATGCTGAGCCTTCAGGAGCTGGTGATGCCGGAGAAGATTCCTCGGTCAGAGTGAGTTTTGGCTTGGTTGTTTTTTACATAAAAAAAAAAAAGTTTCTCGTAAGTCCTGGTGATATTTCGTGTAGGTAGCCATATTTTAAAATTAACTAGAGGATGGTTGCGCGGGCCTAACCCACGAACCGTCGGATCTCACTGGATTACGTCCGATAATCTTCTCTTAAGAGACTGGCCCCAGTGCATTTTTTTTCGCGAACTGATGTTTCCATTGTATAAAATAAGTACCTCATATCTACTACCTCATCACGGGGAAGTAAGTTATGGGAGGAAACCGCCACTATCAGGACGGGAGGCATGCTGAGAAAAGGAAGTGTGCGAGATCAACAGCCACCAAGGTAGGTGCGAGGAACTCCGTTGAAGTGGCCAAAAGGTGAGCAAAACCCGAGCAATTCTAAGCTATCGCGAGTGCCACGACGCATCACGCCACTGACGCGCGGGCTCGCCACGACGGAATATTTAATAACCTGAGTATCAGGCGTTTCTGGGAATACAGTATTATTGCTTTCACTGAATGAATGAAAACACGGTTAATATGAAACAGCCTGATTCTGACCTATACTGACTACCTAGATTTTAATAAAACAGATCCAAAACACATTTGTTTGGCCGCAGAGGGTCAAGAGACTTCGCCCCTTTTTTACGCTACTTTGCAGAATGTAAACTCTGATAAATGCAGAATGATTTATAATTATCAATCTACCTGGTCAATTTCACCCCCCCCCCACCCCTCATTCACCTATTGTTTCCATTAAAGTTAAGCCGATTTTTTTTTTTCAGCTTCAGAGAGGAGAATATAGAGTTCGATACGATAATAGAGTGACAACGGTGCACCTGACTACAGTAAATATGAGTACACAGCTGAATACAGCCGTGAAGACGAATGTGAATACAACCAATAATTATAAGGTGGAGCTTGAACAAACTGGAGGAATGACGGTTGTAGGAGACAATGCGAACATCAATAATTACCATCAGCCACCTCAGAACTAATCAAATGCAAGTATATTCCATCTATTAGTAAAAGAATATATTTCCGCTGGTCGGTTTGATGATGCATTCACTGTACTTGTACGCGAACGAGAACCACAAATAGTATCGCGTGGAAGACTGATGGAGGAATATGGTTTAAAAAACCGTTCAAAACTATTCTGGGGTATTTCCGACCTCGGAAATACAATTTACGGGGCCGGAAATGAGTAAGCAGGGTTGGTTTTTTTACTCACCAATATCGGACCCGTAAACAGACTTAATCTCGGGATCGAAATTCAATTCAGGGGGTCGGAAGTGATTGAGTGATCGCTCGGGGCTCAGGTTTCTGCGTCCCCGAAAATAGACCTCGAAATCTAAATTACGATCTCCGGATTCATTTCTTACCAGCGGCCCAGGAGTTTCATTTCTGATGTCTGAAGTCCTACCGGCAACTGGACCATTATTCCTGCTATCCCAAACCTACGCTCACATCGCTAGAAATCTCAGACCGGATTTTTCTGATTTCCGCCCCGGCGAAACGTCCATGGTTGCGTCGGCCGAAATATCTTTTCAGTCATGTTTCCATAATTAAACAAAGACTTAGATTCAGCACTCACTATATAGCGCATGTATAGTTTAATAAAGAAATGTATATCATTAAAATAATAATAATAATAATAATAATAATAATGTAATGGTATTAAATAGTAATATTATATAATTAACAATTAATGAATGAGGCTGAGTATCTTATGAAGAATTATGGAGATCGCCTACGGCCTCGACGGATAACACCCTCCGAGATCTCCATAATTCTTCACATGATACGAAAGCCGAATTCAATAATTCCGAATTCAAATAATTCCTAGTTTAAAAACTTGCTTACCTCCATCGATCCATCGATATTAAGTTCATCTTCGATAGTGCACGTTTAGGTTTGTCCAGCTCCACAAATATTCTCCAAGTAGCAAATGTCCCCCTTCGAGTTGTCTTCTTGCTGTTCTTGCCATGTTTTTAGTTATTTTTTCGCCTAGTTTCTTACTCTTAAAACGAGTGAAATGTCCGCCATTTTTCAAGTTCACAACCAAAACAACCCAACCTCGTCCTTAGGTCTTCTCGGCTAACGGTGCCTTAACCTGCACGAACGCTGCATTTTTGACCAAGAGACTATAAAGGGGACAGAGAGGGCATCCCCCATATACACCCTATTCCATAGGTAATTCGTCTCGAGTTATTTTTAACACCACAGATCTCAAGGGGAATTAGACAACAGCCAATCACATAGCGCGAATGTGTTCCGCGTGGATGACCCACGCTTAGAGCCACGCGTCCTTCACGAAATGACGCAGAACAAAATAGGGGAAGACGCGGAGAGCGATTTTGCTATTCCTTTTGTCGAAGAAAACGACTACAGCGAGATTTGTGCGAAAGCTGTGTCAGCGAAACCGAAATTAAAAAAGAATCGCCCTTCCTCTCTTGTATAGAGCTAACAGTAGAGCAGGGAAATCCTTAACACACTGAATATTCTCTCAGGATCATTTATAATCTACAGTTTGAAGAGAGCAATTTCTGGTTTGATGTTTATTTTTTTCAGTCTTTATAGCGATTATTCCTACCCACTTACTTTGTCAATTGTAGGCGAACCCTCCTAAAGCTGAATTTCAAGGGACCATATTCAAGCTCAGAAAGAGAAATAAAATTTCGTCGTTGCTTATTTACGTCCTCCATAAAACGCGAAATTAGGCATTTTCACGTCGTAGTCGTGCAAAAACGGGAAAGAAATGAACAGAAAAGTGTGTTGCACGTGCGAAGTTGTTGTTTTGCTAATTAAATCTGTTTTTTTTTTGACGTTCTAGTTGACGTCCGCGTCGTTGGATCTTAAACTCCCTAAATTGTACAAACGACCGGTTTCAATAGACCAGCGAAATTTCCCATTTTATTAAAGCGCTGAGGGTACGACAACTTCGAGTTAAACTGATTTCACAGGTTGTAAAAGAGTCCAGCGATTCCTTTTTCCCAAGTGAGCGCCGACTCATTTCGCTTCAATATTCAGGAATGCTCTCGATCTTTTTACGCTTTCATTGCCTCTCGCCGGACATGTTTTGCACGGCTTTTTGTCATACGAAACCTCCACGAAACATCCACGCCTCGCGCGAGGTAACTTTATCCCGATTCTAAAAATAACTCGAGACGAATTACCTATGGAATAGGGTGTATATGGGGGATGACCTCTCTGTCCCCTTTATAGTCTCTTGTTTTTGACGTCATTTCCTCGTTAAACACAAAATTCTTCCAAATTTGGTCATCAGAAACTGGTTTTGGTGAATTATGCGTGTGCTTTTAGCCAATCAGAATCGGGGAAGTATTTTGAATGAATAATAACAACAATTAATATTAAAGATGATGTCATTCTTTTGAAATGCTTTACTGGTTCTAAATCTATTTTTAGTGCTGTTAAATATACACATTTTGAGTTGTGCATATATATATGAAGGAGTCAAATTTTTATTTCACTTAGTTTTTGCTTTCTCTTTGTTTCAAATCAGCATACGTTATCTTAGCCAAAAACGAAATAAACTGGAAATATAGAATAACTACAACATAATTATATATTACTTTACTTTTACTTTTATAGCTTTTAAAACTTGCATCCCCACCCTCAGTCAATCTTGCCTCTTTTTCACATATACTGGTTTATTTGCACTTTTGCCAAGCACCGTATGCATAGATGGGTACGTTTTGATTTGTAGATAAAACTGACAGTTGTCACTAACTATTTTAGCCGTAAATACTTTTTATTTTATAACGTTTTTTGTCAAGATTAATTACGTTACAGTGTGTGTTTCGATAATTTAGGTCTCAGTTAAATTAGGGTTGTTTACGTGAAGGGAGGAAGATCCTAGTAACAGGAAGATCCTAGAAGGCGGATCATCCTCGCGCCATATGTTTTCTGTATTCGGTTTACATGCAAAGGGTTGTACTTGTCCCTAACGCTAGGATCTTCCTATACTACATTCATTTGATCATGTATTTATTGGAATATAGGCACCGTCCGACTTAACTGAGGCACCGCGACCTTCTTGTGCATGCCCGAAATTGTATAAGATGGCCAAATCAGTCTTGAGTGGCTCCATGTAAGGAAATCCATAACCTGAGGTCAGGTTCTATTTTCGTTTCGCTTTGTAAATAACATTCCGGCGGGCATGGCGAAACGAAAAGAGAGCCCAATTTTAGAGGTAGCCGTTAGAGAGAATATATGAGAACCGCGTAAATTGGGCCTGATCGCAGGTTAGGGAATCCAAAACAGTCCTGGATTCTGGATTCCACACCGAGGATTCCGGATTCCAAGTACTGGATTTCAGTGTATGACTGCGAAACTTGGATTCTGGATTCCATTCCTTAGTAGGATTCCGGCTCTCTTGAGCTACATTGCGGGTCCCAAAGCCCAGGATTAATTCCGGATTCAACAAGCAAAATTTTTCCGGATTCTAGAATCCGGATTCTTTTGCATAGGGCGACTTGAGAGTTGAAATCGGGATGCAAACATGAAAGAGAAAAACGTAGCGTTTCAATTCATGCGCCCTAATGAATCTGTTTACAATTCCAGCAATAACTATATATTCTGAAACTTCCATATATTCATTTGGTTAGAAAGATTGTTTGAAAAAGAAGATAAAAAATTGGTTTTATAAAAAATAAAGTTTTTTCAGAGACAGTGTGTGAAACTGTCAGTTATC